CTTGGAACTCCAGTGGAACTGACTGCCTTTCAAGCTTATCCATCTTTGCAAGTGGACAATTTTAAGAACTCACATTTTCTACATTCCTTGATCATTCATTATAAAATTTAAGCTTTAACACTCTATCCAAGCTCCTGCAGCCTTTGATATTTAGACTGTTTTCATTTAGTCTCAAAAGCAGCTCATCTGTGGGATGTCAAAGATGAAGTATGAGATGGCACAGGGATGCCTCATTAATCTCTAATACAAATAGAAATTTCTCTGGTTCTTTAAGAGCGTTGTATGACTGCCTAGAGGCTGTAAACTGTTTCTAGCCCCCTTGTTACAAAATTATTTATGGGTAAATATTAGACATGCATCCTTCAATGTAAAATATTAATTACTGCCCTTTCAGTTGATTTTTGTGCCCTCTGAAAGGTTATAAATTAGAAGAATAATGGCTGAATACATTAGAATAAAGATTGCACAATGGAATATAGCTGCCTCAAGGTCTAGAGATAAATTCCCAGACAGATCTAGCCATTTCTCCTTATTCATTCCTATTTCAGAGTGGAAAAAAAAACAGACACAAGGCAGAGAAAAACAACAACGACCTTAGTTCATCTTTATCCTTCACCTACAAAGGCTTAATGACAAAGGCTGTGGTTTTCTGGAGGACAGGGACATGTCTCATCCTCTCTGTGTTCCTGGGGTCTGGCCCCATGATCAGCACATAATAGCGCTGAACGAATGTTTGCTGAACAGACCTAAACTTGAGTGACTTAACCTGCTTGCAATATTCTTTACATGTATGCAAAGAAAGATCCATTCAATTGTTCTCATTTCATTGTTTAATCATTATCTCCCATCCTTTGTTCACTCTAATAAAAGGCACAGCACACTGAACATACTTTGGTCAACAGCAAGGTAAGAAAAGTGATACAATCGCTGAAATGTGTCTTGTGAGATGGTGTGGTCTGTCTCACTTAGCAGCAGAAACAGAAGCCAGAGACAAAGCCATCTGCCTGTGGCAGGGCCAAGCTGGTTCTGCTCCCTGACCAGCTCTTCAGCCCCAACCCCATTCCCATTTCACTCGACCACACCCGGCACCTGTTTGACACCACATAGAAGAGGGGAAGGTCAGTTATGAAGAGTGGACAAGAATTAAGTCAGGGGAAAGCAAATGAGCAAATGAAAAATAGGGAAGAATTAGAAGCAATTTTAATTTTATAATCTAAGGCAAGTAGCAATCTGTTCTCCAGAAAATAGCTATGAATTAAAAAAAAATCAGTATCTCTGATAGCTATTTAGAGAACAGCCTGGGAGGGAGGAAATCCCAGGCTCCAGGCTGGTTGTGTATCACTTACTACAGGGGTGATGTGTATCACTTGCTACCTGGGTGACCTAAGAGATGTGTATCACTTACTACCTGGGTGACCTTGAGCAATGCTCAACTTCCCAAGTCCCAGGGCCCTCCTCTATAAAAGAGGGTTGATGATAAAGAGGATCTGGTTCAGAGGGTTGTGGTGAGGGTGAAATGAGGTGAAGCGTGGAAAGCATTTTGAGCAGTGCTGACACAGTGGGCAGCTAACAGGTGAGATCGCTTCTCTGACTGTGGATACCTTTTTTCTTTTTAAGTGGGGGTCTTACTCTGCCACCCAGGCTGGAGTGGCATAGATCACAGCTCACTGTAGCCTCAACCTCTGGGTTCAAGCAATTCTTCTGCCTCAGCTTCTTGAGTAGCTACAGGCTTGCTCTACCATGCCCAGCTAATTTTTTTATTTTTTGTAGAGACGAGGTCTTGCTATGTTGCCCAGGCTGGTCTTGAACCCTTGTGCTCAAGCAATCTTCCTGCCTCAGCCTCACAAAGTGCTGGGATTACAGGTGTAAGCCACCGTGCCTGGCCCAATACAATTTTTGATGAGGATCATAGCAGTAGTCAAACCACAGTGAGAGGAGAGAGATTGCCTGGATTTGATCATCAGTATCTGAAAAGCGGATATTTATTTTCCTAGGCTTTTCTGTTTATAGCCCCCTTTTGCAGAATGCCCTCTCATGTCGATGAAAATAGGGGATGTGATCACTGTTGTCCTTCCTGGCTCAAACAGGACAGCCAGGTCTGTAGTAGCAAGTCAGGACAAAGAGGCAGATTGAGGTTTCCTAGATCGAACTCTCCAGGCCTGTATGTCAGAACTAAGCATCGCTGACAGAGCAATATGAAGAAAGTCTTTTAACTGGATCTTTGTTGAAGTGAGAGACGTGAAGCTCCCAGGCCCACTCCCACTCCCAAGGGCTAGAGATGATGGTTGAACTGTAACTCAAGGGAGGATGAGTGAGCTGAATGCTGGTCTTTGGCCTTGCTGAGGGGGCTATGCAAGCTGAGAGGCAAGCTGATTTCTTCAGGATTCAGAAGCGTCTGCAGAGGTTGTGAGGGAGGAGGTGCCTGGAGAGAACACAAATTCTTCTAGAAAGGATTAATGAAGCATTGCTTGATAAGTGCAAATAAAACCCTTTTCCCCACCTCCCCATGAAATGACGTGAAATTGTTGTAGAATTGGATGGTTTTTCTGGGAGCTGAGACCAAGTCCTGAATCAAGCCTCCAGGTGACCAAGGAATAAAAGTGAGGCCAGTCAAGTAACAGGTGTAACTCACCTTACCTGAATAGCACCTGTGCGATAGTAACATTATCAATAAATAGTAAGTTAACATTTATCGAGTTTTCCCTATGTTCCAAGGACTGGCCTAAGCATTCACAAAGGCTACCTCATTTTATCTGCATTAAAAATCCCATGAGCAGGTGCTATGATCAGCCTCATTTTACACATAAAGAAATGATGAGGTCCCAGAAAGAGGAAATGACTTGTCCAAGGCTGTGCAGCCAGCTGGGACAGAGATGGATTCAAAATCAGGTAACCTTGATGCCAGTCTTGCTCTTAGCTATTGTGCTGTAACCAAGGACCAGTTTACTAATTATTTGCTTAATTCATCTTTGTGGGGAGGTCAGGCTGTGCCTTTCACCACCTACTGCTCTCCTTTACTGAATAAACTCATGAAATAGATGGATGTCTTCTTCCTTCACCCCTCACCTGTCCAATAGAATAGCCTTCCTAGATAGGAGGAAGCTGGGTTTTGGTCAAGGTCACAGTAAAAGCGAAGCTCCCTTATGGCCAACCATGCAATCATTTATTCAACATTTATTGAGGGTCAACAATACATTCACCATGCTCCAGGCATTGGGTAGAGTATACTAGGTCCTGAATATATGAGGCATCTGTCCTTAAGGAACTTTAAATACAGGGGAAGATAGACATGTATAAAATTAAGTCTATGTGGGCTAAGAATGTTTTAATTAAGGATGTCTTAATTTACCATAAAATGAGGAACAGATGAACTACTCTGAAATCTGAGAGCTGGGATCAATTACTTTTAGTTTGAGCCCAGCAGGGAACTAGAAGCCTGAAAGAGAAGTCATGGAGCTGAGCTTGGATAAACAAGGAGAACTTAAATATGCAGAGAAGAGGAGCTCGAGGATTTTTGTCTAAAAAAAGAAGGAACAGATGCACAGAGGCTGTGAAGTGGGGGGCTGGTCCAAGGAACTCCTAGTGGTTCTGCTCAGCCGAAGGGTACCATCGGGGAAAGAGAGCAGAGGGAGATGAGACCAGAAGGAAGGAAGGAAGCAGGGTCTTAAAAGTCAGGCCAAGGGCTACTGGCTTCCTTATGTAAATCCACAGTTATCAAGTGGTGTACCATGGCCAGAGGTGTGTCCCGAATCCCTCATTCATAAGAGTGCTACCCAAATTCTGACTGATGTCTCATAATCCATTTTTGCCTCAAGTAAAGACACAATTGCTATGGCGAAGACTGTCAAAGGAATGTTATATGGAGTCAATCATCTGGCAGGCTGTTAGGGGGAGGTATAATATGGCATGATCAAGAGACAGGAGGGACATTATAAGGTCAAGCCATCACTAAAGAAAAATGGAGTATTTGCTAGAAAATGTGAAAACTTTGTCTCCTCAGTCTATAAAAGTACCATCAGGGTATATGCAGTTCCTCTCTGACAGAAACCCGGTGCTGAAGGGCAGCTACTTGGTGACACCAATAACTGGGAATGCTTTTATAGATCCCATGATGTATCAAATCAACCGGGGTTTGCACTGTAATGACTGCCAAATTTTTATTTTTTTAGCATCAATTTGAATCATTTAATCTGGATTTGAGCCCTAGCTCTGACATTGACCCTGGATCACATTTTAAACCTCTCTGTCCCTCTGTTTTCTCTTCTGCAGAAGGCAGACAGTAGTAAGATAAGGAAGCCCACAGGGTTGTTGAGAGGACTAACTGAAATAACAGGTGGTAAGGCACTCAGAGAGCCTGGCACAAAGCAAGTGCTTGGTCAAAAATGAAATGCTATTTGACTCTTTGTGTAGGTCATCCAAAATTCTAGAATCCAAGACTGTGTGGGGGACACATGCACCCAAAGTGTCTTGTGAACTGTAGAAAAGAGGGAACCTCTAGGGCCTGCACCCATTGATTCAGATAACTGGTGGCAGCGTGATAATGACTGCCATTTATTAAGCACTTATTGCATGCCAGGCTTCTTCGGAAGCAAGGTACATGCAAGATAGTTGGTGTGAAGTAGAGCAGGGAAAGGCCAGAGAAGGAAAATCAACCCAAGCCAGATAACAGGTAAGGAGAGTTCTAATTAGTACAGGTTGTAAACAGAACTGGAAGACCCAAGAAACCTGGCAGATGCCAAACTGTACAGGAGAAGGGCAGGCGGGGAGGCCAAGCATGGCGGAAAACATCTCTGGAGCCCAAGTGACCAGACAGATGGCAGCGCATGTATGTGCACAACTACATGGCATGGCTGGAGTTGGGTATGTGACCTAAAATGCAGTTTTCCCTCCCGAAGGAACCATTTTAAGAACAACTTGATGATACTGAGATAATGAGCTATCATCTGATGAAAATGAATTATTGAGAATTTAAAAATAAAGAACCCTGCCAAAAAACTGACCTCAAAACATTTTTCTTTCTTTGCTTGGTGAAGCAGGCTAGCCATTCCGGGAAGCAAGACTGGAAAGATGAAAGTTTCCAAATATTCTTTGGGGGAACCTAAAACAAATAGAAAAAGTCCCACTGCAAATCCCAAATGGCCCAAGTTAATCTGGGAGAAATATTTACTTCTGAGCTAGAAAAAGGTACTGTCCATTCAATAACATGCCCTTAAATGTTACATGAATATTTTGCTCCAGGCTGCTGAGTTGGGCTGTATAACTAAAGAAACTTAAAATGTTCCTCTGAGCCTCTGCAGTTTGGTGGGGATGCAGACAGGGTCCTACACAAGGCCAGGTCCACCAACTCCTTACAGCCCCCAGGCAGGAACAGCAAGGAGGCCAGTGTGGTTGGAGGGACAAAAGCAAGGAGAGTGTGGTAGGACTTGAGGCCAGGGAGGAACTGGGGGCAGAAATAAAACAAACAGGGTCTGGGGGCTACAGTAATGCAGGTTGGCCAAGGCACAACACATGCTAGCGGGGACACAGAACAAACCAGTAGGAAAGGACCTGGCACCAGGGAGGCCCAAAGAACTGGGCATCAGATCTGCAGCCCAGGCCTCGGGCTTCCACACACAAGGCGGGGCAGCATGGTATTTTCTCCTACTTTTTACATTTGTTCACCCCTTTCTTTCCTCCCTTTGTATTTCATGTAGAATCAAGGTATGCTTGTTGGTACTTATCTTTATTACATTTTAACCTTAAAGATAAATAAGTAAATAAATGCTACTTCTCTTAAAATTTTAAACAAGATCACATTTTTCTTATTTATGTGGTTTCCCTGAGGTCTAACTGTCCACCCCATCCCCACCCTGTGGTTTTACAATATTACAGACCTCAAACAATAAAGGATGAAATGTCACTTCCTTACTCACATGTTTTTGGATCGACTGTTTCCGGTTTATCTTGAGGACAGGGTGTCTGTGAGATCATGGTGAAATGGGAAACTGGAAAACAGTGCTCTGTATTGAAGCCTTGGGAAAGCATTTCCCCCAATGGTGAAACCTGGCGGCAGATGGGGGAGGTAGTCAACTCAGAGAAAGTTGACATCGTTGTATTTTTCTTTTACAAACTTACAAAGGAATAAAATTTGGTATCAGACTTTAGACTCAAAGGGGTACACTGAACTCAAATCTTTGTCTCCCTCCCCTCCTGAGACACCTATAAATAGCAATCAAGGAATAAACCCCTAATAGATAAAAGGAGGCATATCAGTAGATGAGGGATTTGCAAAGATATCCAAAAGGAACAGGGATGAGGCCTGGAAACAAATGAAACAAACATCCTGGTAGGGAGTAGAACTACTTTGGGTATCATGCTGGTGGTGAGAAAAAAAGAAATCGATTTGGAGACTCCCTGCCCAATCCCAAAGTACTGACTCTCAGCCTGCTTGTTGTGAAGTCTTCCGGTGGGCATTTATTCTTCACGAGTTTCCGGTGTTTTCCTATTCATAGAAGAGAATCATCCAGAAAAGAAACTCACATTACAGCAGTGGAGGAAGACCACACCCGTAGAGACGGTTAATTTTAGGAGTCGACTGGATTAAAGGATACCTATGTAGCCCGTAAAACATTATTCCTGGATGTATCTGGGAGGGTTTTCTGGAGGAGACTAGTGCAGGAGTCAGTGAACTGAGTGGGAAAGCTCCGCCCTCAGTGTGGGCAGGTAGCTTCCAATTGGCTGAGGGCCTGGAAGGAACAAAAGGTAGAGGAAGGGCGACCCTCCCCCCGCCCCCACTTGGAGTAGCACCCCTTCACCCAGGCTGCGGTGCCGTGGCACGCATGCTCACGGCCACCTCGGCGTCGACCTGATCCCTCCGCCTCAGTCTTCCGAGTAGCCGGAACTATAGGAGCGCGCTCCCGCGCCTGGCTATTTTTTATTTTATTGTAGAGACAAGGTCTCACCAAGTTGCCCGGGCTGGTCTCAAACCCGCGGGCTCAGGCAATCCACTCGCCTCGGCCTCCCCAAGTGCTGGGATTACAGGCTGAGCCACCGAGCCTTGTCGAATTCTTGTTCTTTCTTATGGAGTGGGGATACTGTCTTCTTCTGTCCTGGGCCTCAGAACTCCTGGTTCTCTGGTTTTTGGACTCCAGGACTTGCAACAGTAGCCTTCGGAGCGCTGAGGCTTTTGGTCTTGGACTGATAGTTTCCCTGGTTCTGAGGCTTTCGGATTTGGACTGAACCATTCCACTGGTTTCCCTGCTTCTCCAAGTTGCAGATGGCCTATTGTAGGACTTCTCAACCTCCAAACTTGTGTGAGCCAATTTCCCTAATACATCTCCTCTCATCTCCCTCTCCATATATCCTATTGGTTCTGTCTCTATGGAGAACCTAATATATCCGCTATATAGAAAAATCCATTCAGTCCCCCATTTTAAATTTTGAATAAACAAAGTTCTCTGCACAGATCAAGAAAATCAATAGTATAAGAGACAAAGAGCTATAAATAGAGCCAGGCATGATGGCTTATGCATATAATCCCAGAATTTTGAGAGGCCAAGGTAGGAGGATCACTTGAGGCCAGGAGTTTGAGACCAGCCTGGACAACATAGTGGGACCCTATCTATACCAAAAAAAATCTATAAAAAGAACAACTGACCCTAGAAGTACAATAACTCAGAGAAAAGAACTGTAATTAGTATCTGCAGAGAAATTTGAGAAAGAATGGCATCCATAAAATAAGAACAAGATGCTATGAAAAAGGCACAATCACAGAACAAGAAAGAGTTTTCAGACATAAGAATGGCTATCAGAGGTAGCTGCAGTAATGGAAGTTACTAAACGTCTAGAGACTTAGGATTTGGTTCCACACCTGTGACCCTCTTCAAGTCCCTTCATCTCTCAGAGTTTTCTTAAACTTTTAAACTTCATTAAGTCCCCACTTAAATTCCAAGGAGGACTTCTTGAGGGCCTTCCTGGCTACCCCATCCTTGGCCCTCTCTCCCTTAGCACAGCACAGTCTTCATCTTGTCCACCCTGGCACGTAGAGAGAAACCTGCTATATCTCCAACTGTCCCTGATGTGGACATGGTACTGGATCCATTGTAAAGGTCTTTCTCATCCAGAATCTCATTTGAGCCCCAAAGAGGCTCTGTGAATTAGTCAAGGATTATATGCCCCATTTAATAGCTGCAGAAACTAAGGCTCAAAGAGGTTAGGTAATGCCAAAGTTATACTGTTAGTAGTGGAGTTAGCATGGGTCCCAGGATTGTAGTTCTAGCTCCACTGTCTCCCTGCCCCCATCCCTAACTCATGACACTGTCTGATGTTCACTGGCCATCAGTGCTATTCTCAGTATTTAGGCTGAGGCCTGGGAAATACTCACAGTAATCACAGCTTCTTGTTTGACTTGGTATCCTTCTGGAAATGGAGGCTGCTCAGCTTCATACTCTAAAGAGGAAAAAAATTCTCAATCCCATACTTCATTGCAGTTTGTGATTTATTTTCCTTTCCTCCAAATAAAACATTGTTTAATTTTATTTTGGTGGATAGTATACAGAAGTGAAAAACAACTGGCCATTACAGGTTAATATTTAATGCAAACCACCTTATTTAATAAACTAGGTTAAAGATAGTTGGTTTCCTACATGGAAGAGTCAAGGTTTTCTATAAGAGTCTGAGACTCTTTTCCTCAGAGGGTACATGTTCAGCTTCTGCCCAAATGTCAAAACAAGGAATAAAGGGAGGAGGAAAACATGGAGGGTGGTTAAGGAAGATAGCAACAGCATACACAGAGGAGAAACTCATGCAGAGGACAGGCCACACAAGTTCTCCAGGGTAACAATGACTATGACTAACACAGGGACAGAAATGCTCATGGACTATATTAAGTTACATCCCTAAAGGAAAGATTTGTAAAAAGATTTCTGGAAAGGTCAATGTTTTCAAGGCAATTGCATAGTCATTTGTAGTCATGAGGAAAAATAAATTTCTGGGCAAGACTATTGACGGAATATAGTTGAACTAGATACAAGCTTTATTCCATTACCTAGTTATTTGTCAGGTAGTACAGCATTTCTCAATGTCTCTCTTTTTTTTTTTTAAAACTCTTAAGTATTAGTCTGGGAACATACAAATCAGGCTGTAGGTTGTAAGCAATTTTAATTCCCATTACCAGCTGTATTAGCTTCATATTGTTGTATAACAAACTGCCACACTTTTAGTGATTTAAAGCAACACAAATTTATTGTCTCGCAATTCCCTTGAATCAAGAGTCCAGGAATGGAGCAGGGTCTCATCAGGCTGAATTCAAGTCATTATGGATGTGATCTTATTTGAGGGTTGAGGTCCTTTTCCAAGCTTACTGGTTGTTGGCAGAACTTAGTTTCTTCTGGTTATAGGTCTGAAGTCCGGGCTCTTTTGTTGGTGTCAGCTGGGGGCTGTCCTCAGGTCCTCAGTGCTACTTCAAGGTCAGCAGGACAGTTTCTTCTGCTTATATCTCTCCGAGTTCCTTTGAGGACTCCCCTGATTGGGTCAGGTCCACCTATGATAATCTCCCTAATTTAAGGTTAACTGATTCAAAACTTAACACCTGAAAAATCTTCTCATGGCTACACTGAGACTAGTGTTTGAATAACTGAGAGGCATATGCACCAGGTGTTAAGAATCTTGGGGACCATCTTAGATTTCTGCCTACCATAACACCTGTAGACCCACTATGTCTTTTCTTCTCAGGCAAGCATGCATGTAAATTTACCTTCTTCCTCCCATTGCCTTGAGAACACTATTTGTTACACAAATGTGAACAATGTTTATTTGGGTTTAAAATATAAACATTTATACTTTTAATTACAAAAGCAAGACACAAGTATTGAAAAAAATTTCAGCTGGGTGTGGTGGCTCACACCTGTAATCCCAGCACTTTGGGAGGCAGAAGTGAAAGAACTGCCTGAGCCCAGGGGTTCGAGACCAACCTGGGCAACTTGATGAGATCTCATCTCTACAATAAATTTTTAAAAAATAGCTGGGTGTGGTGGCATGCGCCTGTGATTCCAGCTACTTGGAAGGAAAACTGAGGCAGAAGGATCACCTGAGCCCAGCAGATCAAGGCTGCGGTGGCCATGAGTGTACCACTGCACTCCAGCCTGGGCAACACAGTGAGACTCTAACCAAAAAAAAAAAAAAACACAGAAAAGAAAGAAAATTTCAGATAACAGACACTTCCAGGCATAGTGGTTCACCCCTGGAATCCAACCCTTTGGGAGGCTGAGGCAGGAGGATCACTTGAGTCCAGGAGTTTGAGTACAGTCCACTGTAGCCTTGAACTCCTGGGTTCAAGGATCCTCTTGCTCAACCTGCAGAGTAGCTGGGATTACAGGTGTGTGCCACCATGCCCAGCTACTCTGGAGGCTGAGCAGGAGGATCACTTGAGTCCAGGAGTTCAAGGCTACAGTGACTTATGACTGTGCCACTGCACTCCAACATGGGCATCAGAGCAAGACCATGTCTCTAAAAATAGTAATTATTTAATAATTTAAAACATAATACAGAGAGGTATTTATATAGAGAGTGAAAATCACACCTAACCCCATGCAACCCTATAACCTTTGGTAGATTTATCATAGATTCAAACAAAATTTTCCAATGTATTTACTAATACATGTATATAATACACAAGTACATTTGTTTACTTTAAATATCCAAAAGTATGCTGCATTGTCCAAGAATAGAATCTCATAATAGTGTTTTCTTTATAACTCATGTTAGTTTTCCTCCATTTGAAATTTGTAAAAACTAATGACTATATTTTCTCATAGACCGTATATTTTGTGAGTGAAGTATCCGGGTCTGTTTGCGTTCATCATTATCCCCAAAGAGTAGTGGCTGAATGATGAATAGATGAATGAGTGAATGGGTGAAAAAAACAAACAGCACAGCAAGTTGCTCTGGGCTCCTTATTCATTCATTCATATTTACTGAGAGCTCATTACATGCCAGAAGCCATTCTAGGTGTTGAATGATGGACTTCTTTCAATGCTGATCCATATATGATGTGCCACATTTATTGAACTAGTGTACACTTAGTGGGCATTTGGGTTGCTTCCAATGTTTCATTACTTCAAACAAGGTTACAATGAGCATCTTTAAACATATATCATTGATCCAAATACAAGTAATTTTGTAGGATTATTCCGAGATGCGACATTTTTCTGCCATATATATATATATAAAATTTGGGCCAAGAAAACCTGGAAATATGTTTTAGAGGACCAGCCCCTTGTAGTACAGGCTCCCTCCACGGGGCAAGTGTTCTAGGATCCCATCTGCATCAGTGTACCACCTAGCATTGTTGTGAGAGGCTGCGTTTAGCTTCAGTGAATTTTTTTTTTTTGGAAATATTTTCAATGTGTTTGCCCATTTCATGATGGGTGATTTACAAGCATACCTGCCCACACTGCACTGAGTGTTCAGCAGGTTTTTTTTGTGTGTGTGTCTTTTTTGTTTGTTTTGAGTTGGTGTCTCACTCCGTTGCCCAGGCTGGAGTGCAGTGGCATGCTCACAGCCACCCAGCATTGACCTGCTGGGTTCTGCTGATCCCTCCGCCTCACCCTTCCAAGTAGCAGAAACTACAGATGCGCACCACCATGCCCAGCTAATTTTTTTTTTTTTTTTGACATATTGTAGAGATGAGGTCTTACCAAGTTGCCCAGGTTGGCCTCAAATCCCTGGGCTCAGGCAGTCCTCTCACCTCAGCCTTCCAAAGTGGTGGGATTAAGCTTGAGGCACCACATCTGGCCTGTTCAGCAGTTTTTGACCCAAATGACATGACCCCCTTGTGCCCCACCCTCCCTAATCAATCAATCTTGCTCCAAGTAACTTTGTTTCCCCAGATGAAAAAAGTCCTCAAAGGGAAATGTTTTGTTCATGTGGAATTGGTGAAAGAAAAAAATGGCAGAAGCACTAAAAGGCATCAAAATTGACAAGTTCAAGGTGTACTGCATCAAAGGGAGAGTACTTTGAAGGTGACTGAAGTTTAAACATGTAAGAATATATAATTTTTAAGTAAATTCCAGGTTTTTTTGAGTTCCCCATTGTTGAAAGGATTATGTAGAAGTATGAGAAAATACATCAGCTTTATGACAATGTGATTTGTTACTTAAAGCCTATGTAATGTTTAAGAGAATTTGGCATAGTTGAGAATCTGTCAATTTCACCTTGTGATTTCAGTTTGAAATATGTAATTGATTATACACTGGTACTGTTACATTGACAATTGAAAGATAATTTGATTAAATTTGTAAAAAGTTTTGAACTCTTTGAAACAATTGGTTTACCATAGTTTGATCCCATTTCTACAGTTGCATCAGTGTATAGAAAAATTTGTCTGCTCTGTTCTGCATTAGAAGTTCTTAAGAAAATTAAATGTATTGGCTAGGTACAGTGGCTCATGCCTGTAATTCCAGCACTCTGTTTTGGAAGGCCAACGTGGGAGGATTGCTTGAAGAAGCCAGGAGTTTGAGGCCATCCTGCACAACATAGTGAGACTGTCTTTACCAGAAAAATATATTTTTTTTTTAGTTGGAGTCTCACTCTGTTGCTCAGACTGGAGTGCAGTGGCCGCTCCCGGCCACCACAGCCTCGAGCCGCTGGGCTCCGGTGATCCTTCCAAGTAGCTGGAACTACAGGCGCGCACTACCACACCTGGCTAATTTTTGATGTATTGTAGAGATGAGGTCTCGCCAAGTTGCCCTGGCGGGTCTCAAACCCGCGGGCTCAGGCAATTCACTCACCTCAGCCTCCCAAGGCGCGGGATTACAGGCTGAGCCACCGAGCCCGGCACCAAAAAATTTTTAAAACATTAGGCGGGTGTGCTGGCACTCACCTGTAGTCCCAGCTACTCAAGAGACTAAGGTGGAAAAACAAATCTCTTGAGCCCAGGAGTTCAAGGTTATAGTGACCTATGATTGCGCCAGAGCACTCCATCCTGGGTGACAGAGTGAGGCCCTGACTTAAGACAAAAAACAAAAACAAGCAAAATACATTTATACATGCTTATAGTCTTTCAATAACTGAAGCTTACAAATGGAAATAACTGATTCAGGGAATTTAATGTTATATGTATGTCAAATGAACAATCTAAGAACAAGTGAAACTGGCTAGTCATCTTATTCAACAAAGGTAACAACATTCTGCAAGAGGCAGAACAGAAAGATCCTGGAAACTTGCTGGCAGAGTGGATCCCTTGTACCAAAATTGGACCCTCTCCCCTTTACATTTCTGGGATGTGAGGATAAGTAAATGTCTTTATCACTTAGCCATGATGAGTTGGGCTTTCTGCTATTTGCAGCTGAACATGTTCCTAATGGAAACAATTAAAATGCAGCATTTACCCACTGTGGCCTATCGGAAGGGGATGGACCAGGAAGGTGACCCTGGAAGTGAACCTGATG